TGCATACAGGTCTTTTGTCTCCTTAGGTAGATTTATTCCTAGATATTTTATTCTTTTTGTTGCAATGGTAAATGGGAGCGTTTTCTGGATTTCACTTTCAGATTTTTCATCATTAGTGTATAGGAATGCCAGAGATTTCTGTGCATTAATTTTGTATCCTGCCACTTTACCAAGTTCATTGATTAGCTCTAGTAGTTTTCTGGTAGCAACTTTAGGATTCTCTTTGTATAGTATCATGTCATCTGCAAACAGTGACAGCTTTAGTTCTTCTTTTCCGATTTGGATTCCTTTTATTTCCTTTTCTTCTGTGATTCTGTGGCTAAAACTTCCAAAACTATGTTGAATAAGAGTGGTGAGAGTAGGCAACCTTGTTTTGTTCCTAATCTTAGTGGAAATGTTTTCAGTTTTTCACCATTGAGGACGATGTTGGCTGTGGGTTTGTCATATATGGCCTTTATTATGTTGAGGAAAGTTCCCTCTATGCCTACTTTCTGCAGGGTTTTTATCATAGATGGGTGTTGAATTTTGTTGGAAGCTTTCTCTGCCTCTACTGAGATGATCATATGGTTTTTCTCCTTCAATTTGTTAATATGGTATATCACGTTGATTGATTTGTGTATATTGAAGAATCCTTGCACTCCTGGAATAAACCCCACTTGATCGTGATGTATGATCCGTTAATGTGCTGTTGGATTCTGTTTGCTAGTATTTTGTTGAGGATTTTTGCATCTATGTTCATCAGTGATATTGGCCTGTAGTTTTCTTTCTTTGTGACATCCTTGTCTGGTTTTGGTATCAGGGTGATTGTGGCCTCGTAGAATGAGTTTGGGAGTGTTTTTCCCTCTGCTGTATTCTGGAAGAGTTTCAGAAGGATAGGTGTTAGCTCTTCTCTAAATGTTTGATAGAATTCCCCTGTGTAGCCATCTGGGCCTGGACTTTTGTTTGTTGGAAGATTTTTAATCACAGTTTCACAGTGCTTGTGATTGGTCTGTTCATATTTTCTATTTCTTCCTGATTCAGTCTTGGCAGATTGTGCATTTCTAAGAATTTGTCCATTTCTTCCGGGTTGTCCATTTTATTGGCATAGAGTTGCTTGTAGTAATCTGTCATGATCTTTTGTATTTCTGCAGTGTCAGTTGTTACTTCTCCTTTCTCATTTCTACTTCTATTGATTTGAGTCTTCTCCCTTTTTTCTTGATGAGTCTGGCTAATGGTTTATCAATTTTGTTTATCTTCTCAAAGAACCAGCTTTTAGTTTTATTGATCTTTGCTATCGTTTCCTTCATTTCTTTTTCATTTATTTCTGATCTGATTTTTATGATTTCTTTCCTTCTGCTAACTTTGCGGGTTTTTTTGTTCTTCTTTTTCTAATTGCTTTAGGTGCAAGGTTAGGTTGTTTATTCGAGATGTTTCCTGTTTCTTAAGGTAGGATTGTATTGCTATAAACTTCCCTCTTAGAACTGCTTTTGCTGCATCCCATAGATTTTGGGTCGTCTTGTCTCCATTGTCATTTGTTTCTAGGTATTTTTTGATTTCCTCTTTGATTTCTTCAGTGATCACTTCGTTATTAAGTAGTGTACCGTTTAGCCTCCATGTGTTTGTATTTTTTACAGATCTTTTCCTGTAATTGATATCTAGTCTCATAGCGTTGTGGTCAGAAAAGATACTTGATACAATTTCAATTTTCTTAAATTTACCAAGGCTTGATTTGTGATCCAAGATATGATCTATCCTGGAGAATGTTCCATGAGCACTTGAGAAGAATATGTATTCTGTTGTTTTTGGATGGAATGTCCTATAAATATCAATTAAGTCCATCTTGTTTAATGTATCATTTAAAGCTTGTGTTTCCTTATTTATTTTCATTTTGGGTGATCTGTCCATTGGTGAAAGTGGGGTGTTAAAGTCCCCAACTATGAATGTGTTACTGTCGATTTCCCCTTTTATGGCTGTTAGTATTTGCCTTATTTATTGAGGTGCTCCTATGTTGGGTGCATAAATATTTACAATTGTTATATCTTCTTCTTGGATCGATCCCTTGATCATTATGTAGTGTCCTTCTTTGTCTCTTCTAATAGTCTTTATTTTAAAGTCTATTTTGTCTGATATGAGAATTGCTACTCCAGCTTTCTTTTGGTTTCCATTTGCATGAAATATCTTTTTCCATCCCCTCACTTTCAGTCTGTATGTGTCTCTAGGTCTGAAGTGGGTCTCTTGTAGACAGCAAATATATGGGTCTTGCTTTTGTATCCATTCAGCCAATCTGTGTCTTTTGGTGGGAGCATTTAGTCCAGTTACATTTAAGGTAATTATCGATATGTATGTTCCTATTCCCATTTTCTTAATTCTTTTGGGTTCGTTATTGTAAGCCTTTTCCTTCTCTTGTGTTTCTTGCCTAGAGAAGTTCCTTTAGCAGTTCTTGTAAAGCTGGTTTGGTGATGCTGAACTCTCTCAGCTTTTGCTTGTTTGTAAAGGTTTTAATTTCTCCATCAAATCTGAATGAGATCCTTGCTGGGTAGAGTAATCTTGGTTGCAGGTTTTTCTCCTTCATCACTTTAATATGTCCTGCCAGTCCCTTCTGGCTTGCAGAGTTTGTGCTGAAAGATCAGCTCTTAACCTTATGGGGATTCCCTTGTGTGTTATTTGTTGTTTTTCCCTTGCTGCTTTTAATATGTTTTCTTTGTATTTAATATTTGACAGTTTGATTAATATGTGTCTTGGCGTATTTCTCTTTGGATTTATCCTGTATGGGACTCTCTGTGCTTCCTGGACTTAACTATTTCCTTTCCCATATTAGGGAAGTTTTCAACTATAATCTCTTCAAATATTTTCTCAGTCCCTTTCTTTTTCTCTTCTTCTTCTGGAACCCCTATAATTCGAATGTTGGTGCGTTTAATGTTGTCCCAGAGGTCTCCGAGACTGTCCTCAGTTCTTTTCATTCTTTTTTCTTTATTCTGCTCTGCAGTAGTTATTTCCACTGTTTTATCTTCCAGGTCACTTATCCGTTCTTCTGCCTCAGTTATTCTGCTATTGATCCTATCCAGAGTATTTTTAATGTCATTTATTGTGTTGTTCATCGTTGTTTGTTTCACCTTTAGTTCTTCTAGGTCCTTGTTAAATGTTTCTTGCATTTTCTCTATTCTATTTCCAAGATTCTGGATCATCTTTACTATCATTATTCTGAATTCTTTTTCAGGTAGACTGCCTATTTCCTCTTCATTTGTTAGGTCTTGTGGGTTTTTATCTTGCTCCTTCATCTGCTGTGTGTTTTTCTGTCTTCTCATTTTGCTTATCTTACTGTGTTTGGGGTCTCCTTTGCAGGCTGCAGGTTCGTAGTTCCCGTTGTTTTTGGTGTCTGTCCCCAGTGGCTAAGGTTGGTTCAGTGGGTTGTGTAGGCTTCCTGGTGGAGGGGACTAGTGCCTGTGTTCTGGTGGATGAGGCTCGATCTTGTCTTTCTGGTGGGCAGGTCCATGTCTGGTGGTGTGTTTTGGGGTGTCTGTGGACTTATTATGATTTTAGGCAGGCTCTGTGCTAATGGTTGGGGTTGTGTTCCTGTCTTGCTAGTTGTTTGGCATAGGATGTCCAGCACTGTAGCTTGCTGGTCGTTGAGTGAAGCTGGGTGCTGGTATTGAGATGGAGATCTCTGGGAGATTTTTGCCGTTTGATATTATGTGGAGCTGGGAGGTCTGTTGTGGACCAGTGTCCTGAAGTTGGCTCTCCCACCTCAGAGGCACAGCACTGACTCCTGGCTGGAGCACCAAGAGCCTTTCATCCACACGGCTTAGAATAAAAGGGAGATAAAGTAGAAAGAAAGAATTAGTAGAAGTAGAAAGAAAGAAAGAGAGAAAGAAAGAAAGGAGGGATGGAGGGAGGAAGGAAGGAAGGAGGGAAAGAAAAAAAAGAAAGAAGGAAGATAAAGTGAAATAAAATAAAGTAAGATAAAATATAATAAAGTTATTAAAATAAAAAAATAATTTTTAAGAGAAAAAATAGAAAAAAAATTTAGAAAAAGAAACGGATGGATAGAACCCTAGGACAAATGGTGGAAGCAAAGCTATACAGACAAAATCTCACACAGAAGCATACACATATACACTCACAAAAAGAGGAAATGCGGAAAAAATAATAAATCTTCCTCTCGGAGTCCACCTCCTTAATTTGGGATGATTCGTTGTCTATTCATGTATTCCACAGATGCAGGGTACATCAAATTGATTGTGGAGCTTTAATCCGCTGCACCTGAGGCTGCTGGAAGAGATTTCCCTTTCTCTTCTTTGTTCTCACAGCTCCCAGGTGCTTAGTTTAGTTTTGGATTTGGCCCCGCCTGTGCGTGTAGGTCGCCGGAGGGCGTCTGTTTTTCGCTCAGACAGAACAGGGTTAAAGGAGCCGCTGATTCGGGGGCTCTGGCTCACTCAGGCCGGGGGAGGGCGGGGGGGGGGGGGGGGGGGGGGCCCGTAGTTCCCGGCGAGCCTGCGAGGGAGGGGCACGTAGTGCGCGGCGAGCCTGCGAGGGAGGGGCACGGAGTGCGGGGCGGACCTGCGGCTGCAGAGGCTGGTGTGACGTTGCACCAGCGTGAGGCGCGCCGTGCGTTCTCCCGGTGAAGTTGTCCCTGGATCCCGGGAACTTGGCAGTGGTGGGCTGCACAGGCTCCCCGGAAGGGAGGTGTGGATAGCGACCTGTGCTCGCACACAGGCTTCTTGGTGGCGGCAGCAGCAGCCTTAGCGTCTCATGCCCATCCCTGGGGTCCGCGCTTTTAGCCGCGGCTCGCGCCCGTCTCTGGAGCTCCTTTAAGCAGCGCTCTTAATCCCCTCTCCTCGCGCACCAGGAAACAAAGAGGGAAGAAAAAGTCTCTTGCCTCTTCGGCAGGTCCAGACCTTTCTCCGGACTCCCTCCCGGCTAGCCGCGGCGCACCAGCCCCCTGCAGGCTGTGCTCACGCCGCCAACCCCAGTCCTCTCCCGCCGCTCCACCGAAGCCCGAGCCTCAACTCCCAGCCCCGCCCGCCCCGGCGGGTGAGCAGACAAGCCTCTCGGCCTGGTGAGTGGTGGTCGGCACCGACCCTCTGTGCGGGAATCTCTCCGCTTTGTCCTCCGCACCCCTGTTGCTGTGCTCTCCTCCGTGGCTCCGAAGCTTTCCCCTTCCGCCACCCGCAGTCTCCGCCCGGGAAGGGGCTTCTAGTGTGTGGAAAGCTTTCCTCCTTCACAGCTCCCTCCCACTGGTGCAGGTCCCATCCCTATTCTTCTGTCTGTGTTCTTTTTTCTTTTGCCCTACCCAGGTACGTGGGGGGTTTCTTGCCTTTTGGGAGGTCTGAGGTCTTCTGCCAGCGTTCAGTAGGTGTTCTGTAGGAGTTGTTCCTCGTGTGGATGTATTTCTGGTGTGTATGTGGGGAGGAGGGTGATCTCCGCCTCTTATTTTTCCGCCATCTTCCCCAGCAATCGGAGATAATTTTTAAAACAGAGACCTAACTCCCAGAATTTCAAGAAGACTGCAGCCTTGGATTTTCTCCCATTCTACCAAACTCATCCAGATCAGTAAGCAAACGCATGCTAGGCCAGTGCCTGTAAGAGGTGCGGTGGTTTTAACACAAGGCTGCGTACGATTTGAAACACCTCCCATCAGTAGGCCTAATTCCCCTCCCTTTAAATATTGGGCTGGTCTTAGTGACTTGCTTCTAAGTAAGAGTAGGTAGCAGAAATGATTCTGTGTGGCTTTCGAGGCTAATTCATCAAAGGTGATACAGCTTCTACCTGGCTGTCTCCCTTGGGGTGTATTCCTTTGGAGCGTGGAAACCACCATGCCAGGGAAACCCCAGAGAGAGAGAGCATGTAGAGACAAACAGGAGATGCCTGTGGATAGCCAGCAGTTCTGGCCGCCAGCCATTCAGGTCTTCCCAGCCCATGAGCCAGATACAGGAGCGCAGGAGCCCTTGATTTGGCTCCAAGCCCAGCGACCGCCGAGATCTCGAGCCAGAACTACCCAGACAGGCTGATCCCGAATGCTGGATCCACAGAAACCAAGAAAGAGAACACAACTGAATACTGTTTTTAGGCTACCAGTTTGGGGGGTGATTTGTTTCACAATAGATAAATAGAAATATTTTGGTACCTAGAAGTGAGCCACTGCCATAACAAAACTTAAAAACATGCAGCAGCGGTTCAGGGCCTGGGTAGAGGGTGGACATTGGAAGAGCTTTGAAGAGGCTGTTAGAGAGGAATTAAAGGAAAGCGAGGAAGGTGTGTTGGAAGCTGGAGGAAAGGATTCCCTGGTTATGAAATGGTGGAAAGTCTAGGAATACTTTCACCAGTGGTAACATGGAAAATAGAAAATGTACGTAATAAACTCATGATCCAGTAGGATTTCCAGGAAGAATGTTCAAGGCAACCTGATTCTTCCAGCTGCCCATAGGAAATACGAGAGGAAAAAGACGAGCTAAAGAAAGAATTGTTAACTATAAAAGAGCCAAGACTTTGGGTGTTCAAAAAATAAAACTATTCCTCGGTTTCATCTTCTGCAGATGGCAAATGCAGCTAAAATTAAAATATGTAACTTCTATCTAAAGATGAAGGCAACGGTGAAGAACCCTTAAGACCTCAGCCAGATTTGAGGTAGTGCCACATAGATTCTTTCAAACCATCAAAATTCCCTCGAAAGATATGAAAGGCATGCCTTTTAGATGTCTCCGTTAAACAGAAGTGCTTATAAAAATCTTAAGGGCACAGTCCTGCAGTAGCCTTAGAGGAAGTCTAAGGTAGAGAAAAGCTTATCTCGACATTTGAGATAAGCTTTGGATAGATTCGATGTTTGTTTAATGGAGTGAGTCCTAACAAGATTGATGAGAAACAAAATATTAAGGAGACTTGTACTAACGAAAACATTGCCAGCTCAGACTAAGAGGGACAGAGGGTATAAAATGAACAGAGGTTTTTGGAATCCCAAAATTCTATGGGAAAGAAGCAGACTGAGAAAACTACACAGCTATCAAAATTTTATAGAACAGGAAGGATAATTCAGGGGGAGGCAACAAGAGCCCAAAGAATGAAATCAAGAGCCATGGAGAATCATTGCTAGGGAACCATACTGAGCTCTAATCAAGGAACTGGCAACATGTGCCTGGCTGGATTTCAATTTCAGAATTGCTGCAGACTGATTACCTGATTGCTACAGATTCAGAAATGTCTGTAGTGGCTATCCTATGCCTATCCCACCAAAGCATGTTGGATGCGGGGAGCAAATAACTTGTCACTTTAGTTCACACATCTTCAGATCAAGAACTATACTCAGGAAGCTTTAATTGTGAATCTGCACCTACAGAGCCTCGTCTGCAGCACCTGAACCTGATTTGGATGATGGGATACTGGACCTTGAGTGTGAGATGGATGCTATCCAGATGAGATATTTGGGAGTTCAAGGAGCGGGTGAGTGTATTTTGCATGTGGGATCGGGATCAATATATATAACTTATGGTAAGCGGGCAGATTGTTGTGGTTTTAAAACATACCCACAAGTTTTTGACATTCTTTCCACCGAAAGGTGGAGTCTAATTCTCCTCCCTTTAAATATAGGCTGGCCTTCGTGACTCATTTCTAACAAGTGGAATGCAAGGCCATAAAAAGCAATACACCTTCTACCTGGTTCTCTTATTCTCTTGGTGCATGTGCTTTGGAGCCCTGAGCCACCATATTAACTGTGCAGCTAACTTGAGCCATCATGCTTAAGAGGCCTTGTGGAGAAACCACATTCAGTTAGAGGTGCTTTGCTCTAGCTCTTTTAGCTCCCAGCTCTCCGGGTCTTACCAGCTCTGGCACCTGCTACATGAGTGATGAGCCTTAAACGTGACCCCAGCTAAGCCACCATCTGACTGTAGTCTCATGAGAACCTCAAGCTGGAACCACTCAGCTGAACTGCTCCTGAGCTCCTGACGCATAGAATTATGAGATAATAAATGACGATTGTTTTTTAAGACACTAAATTTTCCGGTGATTTCTTAAGCAGCAAAGATAATCAGAACAAGGGGTCACCAGTCATGTTTTATTCTGTGTGAATGGGAATCCCTGGAGTTTTTCAGCAAGATGGTAACCCAGGATGCTGTGCAAACCTAGCTGTCAGTGTTGGTCGACATCTGCAGGCTTTGTCCGGGCCACTCTGTGTCTCACTTTTCTCTCCTCTTCCCTGGTTTGCTACTTTCATTTGACTCCAGGTCTTGACTTCATTTGACACTAAGCTTCAAGACGAGTCCCTAATAACATGGTGCTCTGGCTTTGCTAATATCGTTTGGACGTTCTGGTCTAGTTCACCCTGGGATTTCCCCCAAATATCGCCCCGATGTCCACTTCAGCACACTTGTGCCCAAGATAGCAAACAGAGGCCCCGTCCCTTCCCATCCCAGATCGTCTCTGCATTGTGGGGATATGGGAGACACACACATCCAAGCTCCGTTTCTACCCCATGCAAACAGCTGCCTCTTGCCTCTTCTCTAGTGTGGGCTCAGAAGGTGGGGCATGACCCCAGGCTTCCCAACGAATCCTCTGCCCGACCAAGCAGAGCAGAGGGTAGAGGGGAGACTTGAGAGGGAGGAAAATAGACTGGTTAAGAGGTTATGCATCTAAACTTCCCTAGAGCGATCATCACCATGGATGACTGTCAGAATCACTTCAGGAGATTTTTAAAAGTACACATACCTGGGGCTTCCCTGGTGGCGCAGTGGTTGAGAGTCTGCCTGACGATGCAGGGGAGACGTGTTCATGCCCCGGTCCGGGAAGATCCCACATGCCGTGGAGCGGCTGTGCCCGTGAGCCATGGCTGCTGAGCCTGCGCGTCCGGAGCCTGTGTTCCGCAACGGGAGAGGCCACAACAGTGAGAGGCCCGTGTACCGCCAAAAAAAAAAAAAAAGTACACACACCTGGACTGCCACCCCTGTGGCTGCGATTCAGGAGAAATGTTCAGAAAGCTCTCCAGGTGATTTTGGTAGTCAGCCAAGTGTAGGAACTGCTTCAGTGAACTCCTTGAGGAGATCTTTTCCTCTGTGGTTTCCCTTTCTCCCATAGAGCTAAGCCATACCTTGTATATAATTGCATGTCATAGCATTTAGTATACATATAGTATATTCACATTGTTTGCAGGCTTCTAAACCCTTTCTTAGGATGGTAAACTGTATTCAATCTCACTTGTTTAATCTGTATTTATCCTTTAATCATTGATTTATCTAAAAAAACCCACTGTTAAACGTCTGTGCCTCGGTCACCATTTTCAGGCTTGAGGAGATAGAGATTGTAAAAAGGCCTGTATTGTTACTATTTCCAAAGTAATGTGGGAACATGGAAGAAGGAAAAACTGTTTTGAGGGGGAATTCTGGGATGTTTGGCAACAGAGATAGTTTTGGAACAGGGCTTTAAAAGGATTAATGGGAACTTGCTTGCTCGAAAAATGGGAAAGGGCATTCCAATCAGATGGAACAGTGTGTGCAAAAGAACAGGGGCACGTAGAGGTCTGGGATATCCAGGGATCAATGGGAAGTTTAGGACTTGTGCGTGGAGAGGTACGGGATGAGCCTGGGGAGAAAGAGGTCAAGAAGCAATGCTGTGCTGGAAAACAGGCTCTCTTTCAAAAACAAAACAAAAAACAGCAACAAAAAACAAAACAAAACAAACCCCAAACCAAAACCAAAATCAAAACCACAAAGGAAAAAAAAAAACCGTGATATGTAGAATTTGCCAATTTCTGTGGTGTAAATACTCCCATCTGATTTCAAGTTATTAACGATTTAAGAACTGGCTCACAAAATTCTTAGGTATACAGTTGGTTCTGGTGGCCTGGTATCAGCTAGTTCCAGCACATGACTAACAGGAGGCAGATCCTTTAATTCCAAGAGATGTGCTGAAACAATTTTTTGCCCTTCCCCTTACGATGTCTGCTTCCACAGGATCAGAGTAGAGTGGGCAGATGAAATGCCCCATGGACCTGAAAACTCACAGTAGCTAATTCTCAGCCTCCTATCGCCCACCGACAGTGCCCTTAGACCCAGGCAAGAGGGAGCTCTGTTTTGGTTCCCATGTTTAAAGGGCCTGGCTCTGATCATCGGCAGGCATAGCCCTCCTCCAGAGAATGAGGAATCCATGGTGCCATGCCCAACAGGAGCCAATCTCCCCCACTTCTATTCATATTCTCCAGATGCCTGGGACCCTGGAATCCTCTCTGCAATTGGAGCCTTCCCCAAAAACCCCCTCCATAAGTGTATGCAGCTGATACCCGCGGGCTGGCCAAGGAGGGGCTGTTTGCCACAGGTACGGACAGAGTGTGGATGCGGGGGGCAGGGTGGGGTGCCCACACATATGTATGCTACACGCCGCCAAGTTTTGGTGAACTTAGAGGAGTCTGAGAATTCTAAGTGCAGCCCTGGCTTTTCTAGGTCATTATGAAGACATATTTGTCAAGGTAAAATAATAGAATTTATTTAACATTTTGTCAGCTGGATTTATAGTTTGAAATATTTAGCTATATGGTACATGGGCTTCCATTTTGGCTCTGTCCTGGGCCTGGCAACTCTCAGGGGTGGTCCTGGCCTAACCCCATTACCAGGGCGCATTCTAAGCCAAGGTAATCAAACAACAGCCCCCGGGCAAATCCCTGCCCACTGCCTGTTTTTATACAGGCTGCGAGCTACAAATAGGTTTTACTTTTAAAATAGCTTTTAAAAATCAAGAGCAAAATATTTCATGACATGTGAAAATTATGAAATTCAAGCTTCAATGCCCCATAAATTGTTTAATTGGAACACAGCCATGCTCATTCATTTATATATTGGGCATGGCTGCTTTCACACTCTGACAGTAGAGTGAGTCGTTTTGACAGAGACTGTATGGCTCAGAAAGCTGGATCTATTTACTATCTGGCTCTTACAGCAAGTTTGCCTGCCTGCTCCCTGGAGGAGCAGACAGACATGAGGAAGGCAAGAGGCTAGCAGTTCTCACGCGAGGTGCACGAGAGAAACACCTGTTGAGCTCCCAAACAGACCGGTGCCAGGGACCCACCCTCAGTATTTCTCGAATGAATTGGTCTGGGGTGGAGGTGTTTTCAAAACTTCCCCATGATTCTAATGAGAGTCGGGGCTGCTAGCTGCTGGGCTAAGGGGATTGGATACCAGAGGGTTTGGATTTCCCCAATGTTGGTCAGAATAAGGGACTTGTGCCTGCTTGCCCCAGGGATCCGCAAGGTACCCAGTTATTCGATTTGTTTGAAGATGGTGAGAGGGAAGAGAGTCATTGTTTCACACTGTAGTAGGATGTATAAGCTAAGTTGCGTTTGAACCTCAATCCTTGAACCGCTGCTTCAAACATATGTCCCTGGATGTCCCCAGCATTGTCTGCATCTGTCAGGCAGGCACACCTTCGCCAGGACCCCCGCTGGGTCACTTCTCAGGATACACTCCAACTGGGAACCCTTACCCCATCTTTGCAGCATGCCCTCCGTAATTATTGGTGGTCTCACAGGGAAGGAGAAAAAAGACGACTCTATCAGAATCCCATTCTCCACCGGCACAGTCAGCACCATTGGCAGAGGCTGGCTCTGGGGCTGCAAGGCTGCTCCGAGCTATTATTGTGCCTGGCTCTCTCTCAGCATGACTCAACGCAGACAATATAGCACACCGAGAGCATGGGGGATGAACAGTAAATACGAAGCCTTGGATTTTTTTTTAATCTTGTCAGTTTTCTCCTGATTTGTGTCCTTTATCCTAGCCCCCTCTGCTGTATAAGCTTCTCAAAGCTAATGCCCATAACGCCACCACCCACTGGTAGCAGCAGGCTGCTGGGCCACGGCGGGGTCCTCATGGCGGAGCTTTACAATGCCCGCCATTCTTCAGCGACGGTACGCGTTAACCTAGTGGCACCGGGTTGCTCCGACACCTTCCCCTCTGGTTTCTCTTTCCTCTGGGGGCCAATGGCAAGGCTGGGAGTACCGCCCTCCTGACTCTAACTGCTTGTCTCTGCGAGCACACACCACATGCTCCAACCTGGCAGAGCTGGAACAACGGCCCTGCTGAAAAAGAGCAAGGCAACCCTGGGCAATTATGGAGCTGAGAGTTGACTGTCATCTCTACTTCCACATTAAAAAAGTTAGAACTATTTCTCCAAGCTATTTCTTTGGCCTCTGGTAGATACCAGCCCTCCACCTCCTCTCTTTTCTCAAGAGCTAGTGGGATTAAATCAACCCAGGGATGCGGTCAAGCCCACCGCCGAGGCTGCTGGAAATGATGTCAGCAATGGGCATCTGTGCTACTGTCACTGAAGTGGGACGATGGCATACATTTTGCTCCCTTGAAACAGCTCCAAGGAACAAGTTATGCTTTTGACACCTTTCTAGTTCTAATCAGTTTTCAGGGTCACTTATGGCTCCCATTTAACTAAGAAATGTGCCTGTTATCTCTACCTTGGCTACCACGACGTCTGCCTCTACGCCATCTCCTATCTCCGAATCCACTGGTGGTGGCAGGGCTGTGTGGAAGTGCACGTGCCTTTGGCATAGGTGACTTGCTGCTTTAGGGGAGACAGCACGGGCTGGTGGAGGCTGGAGATGCGGTGGCTCTCCTGAGCTTTTGTGGAATGCAATATACATCAACTGAGAACACTTACATTCGGTTCTGTGAGAGTGTCAGCTTGTGAGGGCTTCCAAACTAGGAAATCACAGAGGTTATAGGAAAGGAGCAAGGGAAGGGAAACCTGAGGTGGGTGCTGCTGGGGTGAGGGTCTGTGCAGGGGAAGGCTGGGGGTCGTAGGTCTTCTTAACATGATATATGAATTTTGATTTTTACCTTCAAGGAGAAACATTTTAAAATCACCAAATAGCATATCTAGAAGTTGATGACTGTATCTGGTATGAACTTTATTATCCATTGATGGGGCTTTGTTTGGGGTTATGAAGCTGACAGATCCGACAAGAAGAGGTGATGATAGAAATGAAACTGGCCTCCCCAAGTGGCACTGTCCATCCTAGTGCGGCTCCCAGCAGTGCTGGGTCAGGTGCAGGCGCCCACTAGGCCGTGTTCAGGGAAACGTGCTCAGCTCCGAGAACACTAACGCTTCTGGCAGAATGTCAGCGTGCTCAGGCTTTGATTTGTGTTCAATGGAGGGTAACCTACTCACCTCATCTTAGTATATGTGCAAAAAAAAAAAAAAAAAAGAGGAGGCAATAAAAGATACTAGTAAGATTGTCATTAAACAAAACCAGATTGGCTCCAGATGCACAGAACATGGGGTGAATGTCAGTAAGGAGCTGGGGGAATTGTGAAGATCTTGGAGCTCACAAGATTTGTTTTGCACAACCTCTAGTCCTTTACCTGCATTCGGCATAGCAAATCAAGCAGAGGGAGGGTTTAACAAATTTCTGGAACATGCCAACTAACTCACTCCTTCCCACATCCAAGAGCATTGTGTGTTTGGTCTCTTGTTTGCATTCTTTTTTTTTTTTTTTTTTGCGATATACGGGCCTCTCACTTGTTGTGGCCTCTCCCGTTGCAGAGCAACAGGCTCCGGACGCACAGGCTCAGCGGCCACGGCTCACGGGCCCAGCCACTACGCGGCATGTGGGATCTTCCCGGACCAGGGCACGAACCCGTGTCCCCTGCATCGGCAGGCGGACTCTCAACCACTGCGCCACCAGGTAAGCCCCTCTTGTTTGCATTCTTTAAGAATGGTTGTGTCTAAGAGTTTTTAAGACAATGTTTCTTTGATGGAGTATATGGTGTTATTTGGTACCCACCAAGAAGATGTAACAAGAAAATGTACAGAGATTCTGTTATACTTTATTCCATATCATGTTACAAGAAAACGACAGTGACAGCTGACAAACCATTACATCTTTCATAATACAGACAAATTACAATTGGTAACAAATATGCAACGTGTATTATTCCATTCTCCTTACTATGTGTCATTTTGAAGTATAATAATTTTCTGAATAATGCTAGCTCATTTCTTAGGTACCAACCCCCTGTTAGAAAGTACACATCTCAGTGTATCATACAAAAAAAAGATAAAAGAAGAATTTTTTAAATCCACTCCCAACTAGAGAGAATGTAGATTTTGTATGTGCCTCTAAAATATGCTGCTGTAGGAAGGGAATGAGAATAGGAGATTGCTTATTTTATTTGAATTTTGTTTGGTTTGGTTTTTGGTGTATGAGAAAATTGCAAGGCAGTAACTTATATGGTTTCCTCTGCCTACAAGCTGGTAAGGGAGATGGGAGTTATATGCAATTATGCAGCATATTCCTATGTATAGGGGCAGGCAATAATCTACCCCAGTATGTACAGCCTAAACATCCCCTTATATAACAAAGATTACAAAACCAGTAATATTCACAGATGATTATCTTGTATAGACACATTACCTAGGGTATTGATTACACTGGCTATCATGTACACACTGAGGAAAGGATACCAAGAGACCTTGCTTTCTCCACAAGCCTGGAGGCTCCTCTGGAAACTCTTCTCGTCACCCTTGGGAGGTAGAAATAGCTTCTCATCCTTGTGTCAGGGGACGGACAGCCACCTCCGCCTTATGCCCCCTTTTTTTTAATCTGAGCACTGCAAACATTTTTTTTTCATGTCCTATGTATCTTGTATTTATTTTTAAGTCAACCAAACTCTTCCTTTAAGAAAATGGACATGAAGTCCCAAGTTGCCTTTCAAAATACTGTGTGTGCAGTGACATCACACGGATACAGCTACCATGCTAACGTGTTCTAACTATTCCAGCTGTTTGAATTCAAGCTACTCCTTCGTATAAAAATAATCTCACAAAACATTCCAGTGCTTTCTCAATAGAATAGTAAATCTGTTCATGAACACAGTCTGTAGTGATTTTCATGGCTGTCCTCAGCGAGAGGAGGGAAAAAAAAAGAAGGTGGTGTTCGCAAATGGGAGAGGAAAGAGAGAGACAAAGTAAACTTTGATGTTCTGCACCAATGGCAAGCATGGGGAACCGAAAACCTCCTAAATGAGACCCTTCTGAGACATATGTCTCTGTAATAAAACAGATTTACACCCCCCCCCCCACTGAGAAGTATTACGTTTCATTTCCCAAGAGAAGCTGCCAATGACAGGGGTATATATCTCTGAGTAACTCTAACATTTCTAATTGAAGTCTTTAAACATTAAATATTTTCAAAATTTCAAGTTAGAAAGCTTATTACATAGCAAGACTGAAGCATCATCAGCCCTTGGTTTAAACTTCATCAAGTACAAAAGTTATGCCTCTCCCCCCAATGAATAATTCAAAATAAATCACAGGGAAGGCCGGTTTTTGATTGCACATAAAGTTTT